CATGCCAGCCAGCCCCGCCCCCTGGTGGGCTGAGCTGGACACACACACACACACACACACACACAATAAATGTTAAAAATAAAAAAATAAATTTGCTTAAAAAAAAAAAAAAAAAAAAAAAAAAGACCAACCTACGCAACTTAGTGAAGCTCTGTCTCAAAATTAAAAAATGGGCTGGAGAGGAGCTCAGTGCAGAGGCCTTGCGTTTCATTCCTACTATTGCACAAGAAAAAAAAAAAAGAAAATATTATAAGGTGTTCAGATTTCCCACCAAGTTGAGCATACATGTCCATGTAATGGTATTGGAGCCCTCAGCTACCCTGGAGAACTGAGCACAGCTATGGAGCTCCCTGGCAGGCAAGGAGAAAGTGGAACAGTCCTGGATTCAAGTGGCCAGGACTGAAGCAGCAGGAAAGGAGCCCCCAGGGAATAAAGACCCACACTCAAGAGTCTGAAACAAGCCCTGGAAAGACTCCAAGAGGGCTTTTTTTTTTTTTTTTTTGGTCTGTTTTTTGAATCAAGATGTCACTGGTTGGGGCTGGTGAGATGGCTCAGTGGTCTAAAGCACCTACTTAGAACAAGCTTAGCAAAGCACAGGGACTACGGTTCAATCCCCCAGCACCACATGCCAGCCAGCCCTGCTCCCTGGTGGGCTGAGCTGGCCACACACACACACACACACACACACACAAATAATTAAAAAGATGTCACTGGTGTCACTAAGTTGCCCAGGCTGTGGTGGAATTTGAAGTCCTCTTGCCTCAGCCTCCCAGAGTGCTGGGATGACAGGTGGGCACCACTGTATGCTCCATAGGGATTTTGTATCTGGTTTCAAAGCAGCTGGGAAACCAGCTAGGAACTCTGTGGGACTCCCCTTCCTGACCTGTGACAACCCTTCCCCTCTTTCTCCAGGTGGGCATGACAGCTCCAGGGACCCGGCGGCACATCTATGACACCAAGCTGGGGACCGACAAATGTGACAACTCCTCCATGTCCCTGCAGATGGGGTACACACAGGGCGCTAACCAGAGTGGCCAGGTGTTCGGCCTCGGCCGCCAGATCTACGACCCCAAGTATTGCCCTCAGGGCCCGGTGGCGGATGGGGTCCCCTCTGGGACTGACGATAGCCCAGGGGAGGCCTCGGAGTATCCGCCCTACTACCAGGAGGAGGCCGGCTGCTGAGGCCGTGTCCTGACCCCACACCACCCCCTTCATCCCAGTTTTTGGGTTTTCTGTGTTTTTTCTTTTCTTTTTAATATACTCAGTGATGCAGGGTTGGGTGGGATGGGGTAGCTGGGGGCTCTTTCCCCCCATTTTTTGGTTTTTCTTTTGTTTTTTTGAGATAGAGTCTCACTATGTATCTTAGACTGAAACCAACTCACTACGTAGCCCAGGCCCGCCTCTTAATTTGCAATGATCCTCATGCCTCAGCCTCCTGAATGCTGGGCTACAGGCGTGCGCCACCACACCTGGCTCCCCATCCTGCTTCTCTGCCCCTGTAGGACTGAGCCACCAGGTGGGGATGGAGTTGACCATATTGGGATACTGTGGGGTTGAGGGGTCCTAGACCCCAGATTTCCCTGCAGGCCTTGGACAGAGCTATATGGGGGAGAGACAGGACCAGCCAGGAGAACCTGGCCCCAAATGGCTTCCTGTCTCCTCCTCCCCATCAGCTTGTGGTTTCCGCACCCACAAAGGTTTCAGGCCCTTTTAACGAAAGAAAACAGTGGTTTTTTTTTTTTTTTGTTTTTTTTTCTTTCCCTTTTTGCAAAACGATGGGGGTGGGGATGGTGAGGAAGAGATGATACACATGGGTCCCCTGGGAAAGGGCCAGGCCACAGCTCTAAAATGCAGGAGTGTTGAGGAGCCCCACCCGGGTGTCCCACCATGGGAAGGAGGCTGAGGGAGGGTAGGACAATAATGTCCAGAGCAGCTGGGGCCCAGCCAGCCCCTGCCCCAAGTCTGCGCCCCCACCGTGGCCCTCCGGATCCCCCATCCGCTCTTGGACTAACCAGCTCTATTGAACCCTCTGTTCCCTGCCCTTACTACCCTCTGAGTACTGGACACGGCCCCCCAGCCAGGGGCCCCCGGACTGGGAGATAATGTGAAATACAAATGTGGACCAAAGCAATAAAAAGACCTCCATTTTTAAGAAAAAAAGCCTGGTATTTGGGAGCTCCCCCCACCACAACCCTGGAGGGGGTGGGGGTGGGGGTTTTGCTTTGATCCCTTGCAGGAATACTGTGGGAGAAGCAGCAGACTTGGGGGGGGGTTCTTAAGGGGAAACTGAGGCTGTAAAGTGAGTCTAGGTTTAAGCCCAGAACTTGGCGAAGGGGAGAGGTTAGGAAGGAAGAAAGCCTTACCTCAAACTCTCTACCTTAGCTCTAGCTCCACCCTGCAGGCCACCTGTCAGCCTCCTGGGCGCCACTGATCCTAGCTCCTCAAGAACTAAACATCCTGGGGGCTGGGGAGATGGCTCAGTGGAATAAGCACTTCCCTGGCAAGTGCAAGGGCCTGAGTTCAATCCCCAGTTCCACAAAAAGAAAAAAAAAAAGAAACTAAACATCCTTAAAGACCCAAGGACAAGCCCCCTTTCTCCATGGAACGTCTGCCCCCTGCTGACTCACTTTTCCTTGGACCCTTAGAGCTGTGTCCACACACAGTGGCCACATCCTCACCATGATCTTGTGAAATGTACCCGTTTTCCCGAGTAGGAAACCACCCAGTTTTCCACACACTGTAACAATTACCACCCAAGACTATTTTGGGGGTCCCTTCCCTCCTGCCATCATGTAGCCCAATGTGTAAGACCCCAGGGAGGTTCACTGAATGAATAAATGAATGAATGAAGACTGAGGTTGGAAACAACCATCCACCCGGCACCGACACTTGTGTTTGAGACAGGGTTGTTCAAGCTGCCCTTGAACGGACTGTGTAGTCCAGGCAGGCCTTGATCTAGTCGAAATCCTCCTGCCTCATTCTGAGTGCCGGGTTATAGGCCTGCTCCACTTCCCCCTTTAAGTTTTGCAGTAGTGTGGTCTGTCGTCCAGTACTTTTTTTTTTTTTTTTTTTTTTTGCCAGTACTCATTGAGCTATATCCTCAATCCTTTTTTTTTAATTTTGTATTTTACCAAAGTAGCCACGTTGGACTTAAACTTGCCATCCTCCTGCCTCAGCCTCCCAGAGTGCTTGGATTCTAGGTGTGCATCACCACAGGCACCCCCCTATTATGAAGGGAAAATGGTATCCCTGAATCTGACTCTGGCTAGCTGTAGGTCCCTGAGGACAGGGGCTCCAATGGGGGGGAGGGGGGAGTGGCTGAGGGCGGCTGAGGGCGAGGTGAGCGCACAGCCACCAGGAGAGGACGCCGCAACACGTGTGTGTTCGCTTTAAGAAACCCGGCTCAGGGTGACTAGGAGACTCGCGATGAATAAGCTTTCTTGGGCGCTCCCGTCTTCGGATGGGCCGCTCTGTGAGTGGTGGGCACTGTGGCCAATAGCAGCGGCTGAGGGCGGGGCGCTGCCGAGTCTCCCAGTCGGGAAGCGCTGTCAGCGGCCTTGGCACTGTACCGGCCCGGGTCTCCTTTTAAAGAAGCCGCAGTCCTCGTGCGCTGTCTGGCAGGGGAAAGGAGGCTGGAGCTGGGGGCCCCCGAACGGTGAGAGGAACCCAGAGAAGGAGGAAGGAGGGAGACTCCAGCACGCAGGAGTGGAATTTGGAGGTGACCAGAGGCCAGTTGCCTGGAAAATAGGGGATGCTGGTCGTACCCCAGCTCATCCTTACTTTTCTTCCCACGAATATTGAGGGACCGCTGAACTGATTAGTAATGCTCAAGGGTGGAGGTGGCATCTGGGTCACTCGAAGGGCCTGAGCCCGCCTGCACCTGTGAAGCCCCGATGGGACCCCAGATCCTGAATCCCTCTGTCTAAGAAGGAGCCCTGGCGTGGAGGTCAGGGGGTGGAGGCGGGTGGGTGGGTCAGGTTCTAGTTCCCACTGCGCGGTTGACTTACGGCCCCTGGGCGTCAGTCTAGGTTGTTATCCGTACAATAAAGTAGACCAGAGCCTTTTGGTTCCAAGGAAATGGCAGAACTAGAAGTCTAGCTCAGCCTCTGCTCCTGACCTGTTTGCTAGATCCTGTGTCTTTTCGGAGGATCAATAATGCATGAAGGGATGGGCCAAGCTGGGACTTAATCACGGTTTGGAAGCCTGGATTGCCCCCACCTTTTCTTTTCTGTACTTTTTATTGCTATAGGTCCCAACTCCTTTTAACAGTATTTATTTATTTACTTATTTATTTTGGAGTCAAGGTCTCTAGGTTGCTAAGTAGCCCTGACTGGATTCTAACTTGCGATCCTCTTGCCTCAGCCTCCTAGAGTGCTGGAATCACCTGGCTGATTTGTCCTTTCTTGAGCCTCAGTTTTCTATTCTGTAACTGGAGTGACAATCTAGTAATCATTGCCAGTCAGGCAGTTGACACGTTCGACACAGTAAATAATGGTTGCTCTTATCGTATTTGAACAGGCGGGGGTGAAAGGAACCCTTCCTCGGGTCTGCGTCAAGACCAGGGTGGGAGGCGCCGGAACAGGACCAGATAGATCCCTGGGTGGGGCTTAGGGTGGAACCTGGCGACCGAAGCGTTAAACCGAGACTCCGCCCCCGGGGATTTGGGGCTGGGTTTTAGGCCTCCTCGTCAGACCGACAGCCCTGCTAACCAATCATCTCTGAGGACGGCTTCGGGCAGCGTTTCCATTGGTTCGCTCCACCCTGGAGGACAATCTTTTATTAACTGCTTACTGTAAGCCTCTCTCTAATAGAGCTTCCCCGTCCCCGCGCGGTGTGTTAGTGAGAGGGATGAATTCAGAAAGAGACAGGATTGCCTGGAGCCACAAAACACAACTTTTACACTGACACCTCCATCCTGTCCCCTGTGCAGTGTCATCATGGGTTTCCGAACACAATTGATGCTGCTGCTTTGGAAGAATTTCACATATCGCAGGAGACAGCCGGTAATTTTCAGGGGCGCCAGCCGGGTGGGACCAGCGTGATCCCCACGATCTCCCGCCAATTCTGCTCCCCCTAGGTTCAGCTCCTGGTCGAGTTATTATGGCCTCTCTTTCTCTTCTTCATCCTGGTGGCCGTCCGTCACTCTCATCCACCACTGGAGCAACATGAGTGTAAGCCCTGAGGACGGGGCGTTGTGTTTGGGGGAAGGGGCCATGGAGCCCCTAGTCCACGGGGGTTGCAAGTAGTGGCAGGCGGTACACGTCCCTGGGGGTGAGCTCGCCATCGCTGATGGCTTACAAGCCAGAGAGTGGTCAGTCTGCAGAGCCGACATCTGTCCACAGGCCACTTTCCTAATAAGCCACTGCCGTCAGCGGGCACCATCTCCTGGCTCCAGGGTCTCATCTGCAACGTGAACAACTCCTGCTTCCCAAAGCCCACGCCAGGGGAGGAGCCAGGCTTCCTGAGCAACTTCAATGAGTCTCTGTAAGCAAAAAGCAGTGCCTTCGCTGGCTGGGAGCCCTGGCCGGGTGGGGGCACTGAGTCTCCTGCCTTGTCTCTGTCCTCAGGGTGTCCCGGCTCTTAGCAGATGCCCGCACTGTACTTGGCGGAGCCAGTGCCCGCAGGACGCTGGCTGGCCTGGGTTCCCTGATGCCCATGCTCAGGTCTGTCCATAGTGCAGGTGAGGCAGCTGGGATGGCACACCTGCCCCAATACACAGTGGGGACCGCGGAGCGCGGGCATCTCTGGCTGGAGTTTTCATGGCCCTATTCTGTGCATTTGGCACCCAGCCCAGCCTCAGCAGGATGACCAGCAGGAGAGACCTTCCCTGACCACTGAGCTACTGGGGACACTTCTGCAAGGGGTGAGCAGGGTTGAGGGACCAGCTGTTCTTGGGAACCTCTCATACCAGGCTCTGGGACCTAATGGGACATTCCTCATCCTGTACCAGGACAGGGAGTATCTGTCACAGTGACAAAGCCTCCAGCCAGTGAATGACCTTGAATAAGTCTTTATACTTCTCAAAGCCTCAATTTCTACATTTGTAAAATGGGCACAAAGACAGCGTGATGGAAATTTAGTGGAGTGCTTGTTCTCAGGTGACAAGGTTCTTGTCACTCTCGGCATCTTCTCCACAGGAATCTCTGAGGTCCACCCTGAGCCAAGCACAGGAGTCCATGGGCAGCTTTGTGGAGGCTGCTGAGGACCTGACCCAGGAGGTGAGTCTTCCCTCCCAAAATGCGTATGGTGGCACTTGTCTGTCATCTCAGCACTGGGAGGCTGAGGCAGGAGGATCTCAAGTTCCAACCCAGCTGGGACAACCTATCAAGATTCTGTCTGAATATAAAAAGAATAAAAAAGATTGGGTATTTAGCTCATTGCAAATGAGTTTAATCTCCAGTACTAGAAAGAAAGGGAAGGGAAGGGGGGGAGGAAGGGAGGGGGGAAAGGGAGGAGAGGGGAGGGGAGGGGAAGGGAGGGAGAAAAAAAAGTTTCCATTTAGCATCAAACTCAGCCAGGAAGCAATAAGGACAGTTTTTCTGTGCACTTGGAACAAAGTGGGGTGCCTGCCCTGGTGCAGGTTTGGTGGTGGATCCAGTGGCGGGAAGATTGCCAGCACCCTCTGATGACCTTTCCTTAGCTCCTAGCGCTACCCAGCCTGGCGGAACTTTGGGCTCTACTGCAGAGACCCCAGGGGACAAGCAGCTCCCTGGAGCTGGTGTCTGAAGTCCTGTGCAGTGCTAAGGGGCCCAGCAGCCCTGGGGGTCTCTCCCTCAACTGGTATGAGAACGGAAACTTGAGGGAGCTGGTAGAGACGGAGCAGGTGCCTGACCTGTCAGACCACGGCCTGAGTGAGTGACAGGCTTCAGTTTCCCTACTTGGGTGGTAGGTGGTGGGTGTGGAGCCTGGGCTCATGGCATCTGCACCCCAGGCCCTGCCTGCTTAGAGCTGATGGGGACACTGGGCAACCACCCACTGTCCCGCCTGCTCTGGAGACGCCTCAAGCCACTGGTTCTCGGGAAGCTGCTCTTTGCACCTGACACGAACTTCACCCGGCAGATCATGGCTCAGGTGAGGGTGGTCTGCTGCTGGGGGAGGAGTGTTGGGAAAGGAGGGAGGGCCAGAGGGTCAGGGCACTGTGTTCCAAAGAAATAAGATCTTAGCATGGCAGTGCGTGTCTGTCATCCCAGCACTCAGAGAGCAGGAGGCAACTAGGCAGCTTAGTAAAACTCTTTAAAAAATAAAGCATATGAAAAGGCAGGGAATGTAGCTCAGTGCAAAAGCCCTGCACTTTAATGCCTAGTAGCAACAAAACAAAACAGGTAGAGCAGCCAGGGAAAGTGCCCAGAGGCCCTCAGAGGACAGAGTGGTGGTGAATGAACAGGACCTGGACAGATCTGTGGACCCTTCCCTGCAGGTGAACCAGACCTTCGAGGAGCTGGCCCTGCTGAGAGACATCCAGGAGGTCTGGGGCATGCTGGGACCCCAACTCTTTGGTTTTCTAAACAACAGTGCAAATGTGGCTATGCTGCAGGTAGGGCTGGGGTGGAAGCAGGGCATGGGGAGACCTCACTCCAGGCAGGAAGTGGGACCCATGGTGGGCAGGAGTGCAGAGCCCCTGTGGTCGGGTGCCAGAGACCCTCCTCACCTGACACTTTCCCCAGAGTCTCCTGCAAGTGCAGGAGAAAAGAAGGAAGCGACCAGGGCCTGGAGGCCAGGCAGGGGCAGAGGCCCTCCGGTCTTTCCTGGATCCCAGCAAGGGCGGCTACAGCTGGCAGGAGGCTCATGCTGATGTGGACCGCATGGTGCGCACGCTGGGTGGCGTGATGGAGGTGAGGGCCTGGAGAGAGGCAGGGTGCCACCTGACCATTGGAGCCTGGCGGGTAGCTCTGCTCTAGCGATCTAAAGGGGAGAGGCGATCTTGTCTTGTGGAGGCCCTGAGGGGACAGGTTTGGGTCCCTTGCAGTGCGTGTCCCTGGACAAACTCGAGGCCACACCCTCGGAGGCAGCTCTGGTGTCGCGGGCCCTTCAGCTGCTGGCTGAGCGACGCCTCTGGGCCGGCATCGTCTTTCTGGGGCCCGAGGACGCCCCGGACCCAGCAGAAGTGACGGTGCCTGGACACTTGAGAGTAAAGATTCGCATGGACATCGATGATGTCACCAGGACCAATAAGATCATGGACAAGTGAGCGTGGTGGTTGGGGCCAGGCAATTCAGCACATTGGCGATTGCTGGGCGGAGCCTAGGTGGCAGCAAAAGGCACATTAGGCAGAGCCCAGGGAACTTTAGACCAATCGGGATCATGGTGGGTGTGGCCTATGTACTTGAAGGGCCAGCCAAGGCCTTCCTATTGGGGTATAGGTGGAGAGCAGTGTGGGCGTTCTTGTCTATTGGATACAGTGATGCGCAGAACCTGCACTTTACCCATCTACATATAGTGGGCAGAGTCCAGAGAGTCTTAGAGTGTTACAGGACATGGTCTGGCAGCTGGGATGTGAAAGGAGAATGAGGAGTTGTGTGTCCAGGCCAGGAGCAACATTGAGGGCGCATGCGCAGAGTAAAGAGCTGAGCTGTGATGGGCAAGGAGCTCCCAGCTGTTCTCTACCACTGACTGCCACATCCCTTGCACAGGTTTTGGGACCCAGGCCCGGCCGCAGACCCCTTGTCGGACCTGCGCTATGTGTGGGGAGGCTTCGTATACCTACAGGACTTGATAGAGAGGGCGGCTGTGCGTGTGCTCAGCGGCGCTGACCCCCGCACAGGCCTTTATCTGCAGCAGATGCCCTACCCGTGCTACATGGATGACGTGTGAGCGCTGCGCCTACCCCACTCAGCCCCAGCCCCCTGTCCCGAAGCTTAGGGGACAGTCAAGCCTGCAAGTGCCCATGTGATCCCTAGCAGGGGCAGAGTTCAAAGATCCTTGAGGATCTTGGGGCACAGAAGGAAAGTGGCTTGTAGTGATCCTGGAACCCCGAGCAGCATCAAGCTCCGAGGTGGGGGACCCTCGGAGTCTCACTGCGAATGGCCGGGCCACGTTGGGGCGAGGAGGCACAGAGTCATCATCCCTATTTCCGTGGCCTTCCCAGCTTTCTGCGAGTGCTGAGCCGCTCGCTCCCGCTCTTCTTGACGCTGGCCTGGATCTATTCAGTGGCGCTGACCGTGAAGGCCGTGGTGCGCGAGAAGGAGATGCGGCTGCGCGACACGATGCGCGCCATGGGGCTGGGCCGCGCGGTGCTCTGGCTCGGCTGGTTCCTCAGCTGTCTGGCGCCCTTCGTCCTCAGCGCCACGCTGCTGGTGCTGGTGCTCAAGGTGCGCCTCGGTGCCTCAGGGGCACGCGGGGATCCGTGTTCGGGCGATGGGGATCCGCGTGAGCCCCAGAGCCCAAGCCCTGATAGCCCTGATCTCCCTTTGCCCCCCACAGCTGGGTGACATCCTCCCCTACAGCCACCCGGCCGTGGTACTTCTCTTCTTGACAACCTTCGCAGTAGCCACGGTGGTCCAGAGTTTCCTGCTGAGCACCTTCTTCTCCCGCGCCAACCTGGCCGCCGCTTGCGGAGGCCTCGCCTACTTTGCTCTCTACCTGCCCTACGTGCTGTGTGTGGCCTGGCGGGAACGGCTCCCCGCGGGGGGCCGCGTGGCCGCGGTGAGGGCAGGTGCGGGGCAGGGCGGTGGGGGCGCCCCTGGCCGCGGCCGCCTGCTGACCCGTCCTCTGCAAACTGCAGAGTCTGCTGTCGCCCGTGGCCTTCGGCTTCGGGTGCGAGAGCCTGGCGCTGCTGGAGGAGCAGGGCGAGGGCGCGCAGTGGCACAACCTGGGCCGCGCGCCCGCGGCCGACGTCTTCAGCCTAGCTCAGGTCTCGGGCCTCCTGCTGCTGGACGCTGTGCTCTACGCCCTCGCCATCTGGTACCTGGAGGCCGTGTGCCCAGGTGGGCCTAGGGAGTGGGGCCCTGCGCGGGGCCGCGACTGCGCACCAGGGAACTTCTGGTCCTTGAACTGCCCCCAGGTTAGGTTCCCTCTAAGGGCGGTGCTGCAGCGCTCCTGCGCCCCAGACTGTTTGGACCAGGGGTAGCGGCGCACGCCTGTAATCCTTAGCATTCTGGGAGACAGACGGGAGACCAGAGGTCCTCCAGTTTTAGCCCAGTCTGGGCATTTTAGCACCTTAGCAAGACCTGACGAAAGAAAGAAAGAAAAGAAAGAAAGAAAGAAAGAAAGAAAGAAAGAAAAGAGAAAGAAAAGAAAGAAAAGAGGGCCGGGGAGATAGCTCAGTAGAATAAGCCCCTGCCTGGCAAGCTCAGCGTCCTGAGTTCAATCCCCTGGAAAAAGAAAAAAAAAAGAAAGAAAGAAATGAAGACTCAGGGCGGAGCTTCCCGGCCCTAAAATCCAGGTTTTTGTGAGCGGCTGTGAGAGGGGCTTGGCAGCGAGCCAAAACCCCGCCCACGTGACCGCCCAGCCCTAGGGGTGTGGTTAGATTTACATGCCTTCCTCGCAGAGGGAAAGCCTAACTGAGCGCTGCTCCTCACTAGGCCAGTATGGTATTCCTGAACCGTGGAATTTCCCCTTTCGGAGGAGCTACTGGTGTGGACCTGCACCCCCAAAAGGCCCTGCTCCAGCCCCTGCCCCGCAGGATCCAAAGGGTGAGATCCCACAAACCTAACCAGCTCCTTTCTCGTTTGGATTCCCTGCCTTACTCATTTCCAAATAAACCGGACTGCCCATAATCTAGTCTCCTGCAGCTCCTGGGGCTTCCCTAACTCTTTATTTTCAAATTGTACTGGGAATTGAATCCAATGCCTTGACACTAAGCTCCACACCCAGCTTTTTTTGTATTTTTTGGGGGGAGTGTACACAGGATTGAACACCAGTCCTTGCCCTTGCCAGGCAGGCGCTTAGGCCGCTGAGCTATCTCCCTGGCCCTCCTTTTGTATTTTTTCAGAGACTCACTAAATTGCTAAATTTCCCCAGCTAGGGGCTGGTGAGATGGCTCAGTGGTCTAAAGCACCTACTTAGAACAAGCTTAGCAAAGCACAGGGACCATGGTTCAATCCCCCAGCACCACATGCCAGCCAGCCCCACCCCCTGGTGGGCTGAGCTGGCCACACACACACACACACACACACACACACTCTAAATAAATTAATTAATTAAAAAAAATAAATTTCCCCGCTAAGCTCAAACTTGAGCTCCTTTTGCCTCAGCCTCCCTGAGTGCTGGGCTGCAGGTGCCCATCACCATGCCTGGCTGTTCCCCAACTCCTACAGGCTCCTGCCTGACCCAACACCAGTTCTAAGGGATCCCGGGTGCCCCCCTCACAAACACCCTACCCAGTGTCTCTGTCTCTTTCTGCAGTGCTGGTAGAAGGGGCACCGCCTGACCTGTGTCCAGGAGTCTCCATCCGTGGCTTGGAGAAGCACTTCCCAGGTTGCCCACAGCCAGCCCTGCGTGGGCTTAGCCTGGATTTCTACCAAGGCCACATCACGGCCTTCCTGGGCCACAATGGCGCTGGCAAGACCACCACGCTGTGAGCTGCCAAACGTGCTGCACCCTCCCCAGAACTCAGTTTCCCCATCTGTCCTGTTGAGAACACATCTGGGGCCAGAAGGTTCTGGGGTATAACCTGGGCATGTGATGAGACACGGCTGTTAGCCCAGCATTCTGGGAGGCTGAGGCAGGATTGAAAGTTCCAACCCTGAGGCCAGGGAGATGGCTCAGTAGAATAAGAGCTTGCCTGGCAAGCACGAGGGTCTGAGTTCAATCCCTGGTTCTAAAAAAAAAAAAAAAAAAAAAAAAGACCCTGTCTTACACTTGGCATGAAGGCCCTAGGTTCTGGGGTGTACCCTGGGGGTAACAGCCCCATTTCACTTTGGGCATATAAAAGACAGGGACGAAGTATTTTCTCAGCCTAAGATTCTTCCCTATAAAATGGGGACATAACACCCCTTGGAGACCAAGTGTGTTGGCTGACACCTGTAATCCCAGCATTCTGGAGGCTGGGGCAGGAGGATTGCCACAAGTTTGTGGCCAGCCTGGGTACATAGGAAGATCCTGTCTCAAATAAACAAAAACAAAGTGGGCATACACAGCTGCCTATGAGAGGTGCTGCTCTGAGACCCCTATACTCCCAGGTCCATCCTGAGTGGCCTCTTCCCACCCAGCGGTGGCTCGGCCTTCGTCCTGGGCCACGATGTCCAGTCCAGCATGGCAGCCGTGCGGCCTCACCTGGGCTTGTGCCCGCAGCACAACGTCCTGTTTGACATGTGGGTAGCGGTGCCTGGCGTGGGTACCCCTGCAACCCCGCACACTGTGATGGCCGCCCCTCTTCTCCCTGCCCATAGGCTAACAGTGGATGAGCATGTGTGGTTCTATGGCCGGCTGAAGGGTCTGAGCGCAGCAGCTGTGGGCCCTGAGCAAGACCAGCTACTGCAGGATGTGGGGCTCAGCCCTAAGCGGAGTACACAGACACGCCACCTCTCTGGTAAGCTCACTGGAGGGTGGGGAAGTGAGGACAGATCCAGGCATTGATGTCTGTATGCATGGCCAGAGGTGGCAGAGATGCCCCTGTCCCCCTAAGGTGGGATGCAGCGGAAGCTATCAGTAGCCATTGCCTTTGTGGGTGGTTCCCGTGTTGTTATTCTTGATGAACCCACTGCCGGTGTGGATCCTGCTTCCCGTCGAGGCATTTGGGAGCTGCTGCTCAAATACCGAGAAGGTGAGAGCTGGGGGCAGGCTGAGGCTCCTCCTGGATTCTGCTTCTGGGCATCCAGAAAAGGTGTCTAGCCAGGCAGTACTGGGGTGGGGTTTTGAGGGATGAGTAAGAGTTTGCTACCTGGGATAGGCAATTCCATGGTGGAAAGCACAGCTTGGGGCAAGCCCTGGTGGCCTGAGATCGTTCATGTGGGGTGGGTCCCCATACTCAGGTCGTACACTGATCCTCTCCACCCACCATTTGGATGAGGCTGAGCTACTAGGAGACCGGGTGGCTATGGTGGCAGGTGGCCGCCTGTGTTGCTATGGTTCACCACTTTTCCTGCGTCGCCACTTGGGCTCTGGCTACTACCTGACACTGGTGAAGAGTCCTCCGGGCATGACCACAAGAGAGGTGAGGCCCCTGGGGTACAGACCCCCACAACTTCTTCTAGCCTGGTTGCCATGCCAACCACTGCCCCTTCATGCAGGGTGACCGTGACAGAAAGGACAGACTGGACACTGCACAGGAGCATGAGTCAGGCAGCCAGGACAGCACTGCAGGTGGGAGCTGGCCTGGGCTGCCCAAAGGAGAGGGGGTGTGTGTGGCTTAGTTCAGGGGACCCTAAGGCCAGGCTTGCTGGCACATGCCACTCAGGCAGGAGGGGTCATGAGTTTGAGGCCAGCCTGCATCATATAAGGAGACCCTGTCTCAGGAAAAACACACAAATATTCAGAGAACCCCAGAGTGGATCCCCGATTGCCACCCTTGGGGGTCCCTCTAACAGTGACTCTGTGCATCTCCGACCCATACCTTTACTCCACCTTGGAATCTCAGCTCTCTGGAGGCTGAGGCACGAGGATCTCACGTTTGAGTCCAGCCCGGGTCACTAGCGACATAGAGACTCCACGTCACTATTTTGTGCCAAAATAGAAAGATCTAAAGGGCTGGGTTGGCACTCAGTGTGCAGCCCTGTGTTTCATCACTTTTACCACAGAAATAAAACATTAACCGGGGTCAACCAGAAAACTAAGCTGCCTCTGTCCTCTGCCTGCAGGGCCAGGGGTGAGGATCTCGAAGGCCCCTCTCCCCCCAGATGCACCCCAACTCCTGAGCCTGGTGCGGCACTGGGTGCCAGGGGCACAGCTGGTGGAGGAGCTGCCCCACGAGCTAGTGCTGGCAATGCCCTATGGGGGTGCCCAGGATGGCAGCTTTGCCAGGCTGTTCCAGGAGCTAGACAGGCAGCTGGACACACTGTGGCTCACTAGCTATGGCATCTCGGACACCAGCCTAGAAGAGGTGCCAGGGGGCTGTGGGAGAGGCTGACGTGGGTCGGCTGGGATGGCAAGGGCAGCCTAGGGGAGATGGGGCTTTGGAGGATGAATAGGAGCTTGCTTATGGACAACAGCAGCATTATAGGAGCTGGGGATGGAAGTAGATGAGGGATTCTTTCCAGTGGCCCCCCCCAACCCCCTGTTCTCAGCTCCCTGTTTGTTTCTCCAGATTTTCCTGAAGGTGGTAGAAGACAACAGCATGGACCTAGAACTAGTGGGAGCCACCGCAGCTCCCCGACCCTTGGACTCTGAGCCTGGTCCAGAGCCTGGTATGACCCTGGACCGAGTCTCCATCCCTGGTTGAGTCCACCTCCAATGCATAGCCCTGCCTCTGATCCTTGACCTTGACCCTAGCTGAGCACTGACCCCTGCCCATGACCCCTATTGGCCCCACAGATGGTGTCCCCTGGTCACATGTGTCCACGACTACCTTGCAGCGCCCAGTACTACCTGAGGACTCCACCCTGGGGAATGGAGAGCCGGGTGAGTCCCTCCCTTGCCCACTGTAACAACCTCCTTTCCCTCACCATGGCCAGACCTCTGACCCTCCCATGCCCCACAGCCGGGCTGGCCTCAGAGACACAAGCCCTGCAGGGTTCTGGGCCAGACATCACAGGCCGGGTCCAGGGCTGGGCCCTGACCCACCAGCAGCTCCGGGCCCTGCTTCTCAAACGCTTTCTGCTTGCTCGGCGCAGCCACCGAGGTCTATTTGCACAGGTGAGGAGGTCCAGCTAGCATCAGGGCGGGTGGCTCAGGTGTCCATGGCTGCTGTTTCCATCCCAGCTGCTCACTCAGTGGCTTCATTCAACAGCACAAGCCCAGGGGCCGGGGAGATGGCTCAGTGGAATAAGCACTTCCCTGGCAAGCACAAGGGCCTGAGTTCAATCCCCAGTTCCATAAAAACAAAACAAAACAAAACAGCGTAGGCCCATGTGTACTTATTGAAGGCACTGGGGAGCCATGGATAGTTCTGTAGCAGGAGCAGGGAAGGGGTGGCAGCTGATGAGCCATTCCTGCAGATCATACTCCCTGCCCTTTTTGTGGGCCTGGCTCTGGTATTCAGCCTCATCGTGCCTCCTTTTGGTCACTACCCGGCACTTCGACTTAGACCCGCCATGTACGGGGCCCAGGTGTCTTTCTTCAGGTGGGTGCCAGGGACAGAAGGTGAGGGGAGGGTTGGGAGCCTAGGGCAAAACTCTAACCCACATGCCCCCCACCCAGTGACGATGCTCCAGGGGACCCAGACCGGGCCCGTCTGCTTGAGGCGCTGCTGGAGGAGGCTGGCCTGGATCAGCCGGAAGTACACAACAGCTCCACCAGGTGCGCCCACCCACCCTGCCTTGATTTTCCCTCTGGGCTCCAGCCTGCCCACCTGGAGTGTCCAGGATCCCCAGTAACCCTGCCTCCATTTCCACAGGGATGCTGAGTGTCTGCAGGGCCCTGCGTGCCACTTCTCAGTCCCTGAGGTTCCCGCTGATGTGGCCCAGGCCCTGGCCAGCGGCAACTGGACACCAGGGTCCCCATCCCCGTCCTGCCAGTGCAGCCGGCCTGGCGCCCGCCGCCTACTGCCTGACTGCCCCGCTGCGGCTGGGGGGCCCCCGCCCCCCCAGGCCCTGAGCAGCTCAGGGGAGGTTGTGCAGAACCTGACGGGCAGGAACCTGTCCGACTTTCTGGTCAAGACCTACCCACGGCTGGTGCGCCAGGGGTGAGCAGCCACGGGGGGAACAGGTTGTCTTTTTTTTTTTAAGTACTGGGTATCAAACCCAGGGCCTTCACACTGGGCTATGTCCCCAGCCCTTTGTATTTTTAATTTCAAGATACTGTGTTGCTACGTCACTAAGTTGCCTACACCTGGCTTGAATTTGAGATCCTCTTGCCTTAGCCTCCTCAAGGGCTGGGATGACAGGCATGCTTCACCACACCTGGCGGGGGACAGCAGCTTGGTGCCAATAGGTTGGATGTCAGCTGGGGTGCTCCCCTCTGTTTCCATCTTGCCTTTAATTCTCAGGCATCTCTGTCTGTCCCCATCCTTGTCTCTTTCTGTCTGTCTCTCCCACAGCCTGCAGACCAAGAAGTGGGTGAATGAGATCAGGTGAGGGGGCACCTGGCCTGGGGTTTCCTGGCCCCACACCTTTCCCACACCCTCCACCTTCCCTTGGCTACCCATGCTCAGGTGCTACCCCCACCACTGCCCAGGTACGGAGGCTTCTCACTGGGGGGCCGTGACCCAGGCCTGCCCTCAGGCCGAGAGCTGGGCCACACGGTGGAGGAGCTGCGGGCACTGCTGAGCCCTGAGCATGGTGGGGCCCTCGATCGCGTCCTGAACAACCTCACGGTGTGGGCTCTTGGCCTGGATGCTCAGAACAGCCTCAAAGTAAGAACTGGGGTGCAGGTAGGTGTCCTCCTCCACCACCCTCACTCTGAGACACTGACCCCATGACTGTGACTTCTCTCAGATCTGGTTCAACAACAAAGGCTGGCACGCCATGGTGGCCTTTGTCAATCGAGCCAACAACGCACTCCTACGTGCCCAACTTCCCACGGGCCCTGCCCGCCAGGCCCTCAGCATCATCACGCTCAACCACCCCCTGAACCTGACCAAGGAGCAGCTGTCAGAGGCTGCACTGTGAGTCTCAGCCCCATGTACCCTCCCATGCCTCAGTGTCCCAGCTGTTTTGGGTGGTGGGGCTGGATTTGTACTCTATTATGTGCTGGTCACATAAACAGGCACCCTCCTTCCCAGCATGGCCTCCTCCGTGGATGTCCTGGTCTCCATCTGTGTGGTCTTTGCCATGTCCTTCGTCCCAGCGAGCTTTATCCTGGTCCTCATTGAGGAGCGTGTCTCTCGGGCCAAGCACCTGCAGCTCATAGGAGGCCTATCTCCGACCCTCTACTGGCTGGGCAACTTCCTCTGGGACATGGTGCGAGTGGGGGCTGCTGAGAGGGAATGGGTGAGGTCTGAAGGGTGGTGAGATCTCGCACACCCCTTCTCAAAAAATCCAGGGAGGTCAAAGCTGGGTGTACTGGTATAGATCCTTGGGAAACTGAGGCAGCAGGACTGCAAGTTTGAGCCCAGCCTGGCCATCTTAGTGACTTAGTGAGATCATGTCTCAAAAAATAAAAAGGTGTGGGGGGTGTAGCTCAGTGTAAAGGCCCTGATCCTTAGTACTTAAAAAACAAAAACAAAGCAAGCAAACAAACAAACAAACAAAAAACAGCAGAGGGGCTAGGGTGGGGACAGGGCTGAGGGTGACAATCCCTGCCCATTCTTATTCACGGGTGCCTACTCTCCCCACTGCAGTGTAACTACTTGGTGGCAGCATGCACTGTGGTCCTGATCTTCCTGGCCTTCCAACAGAAAGCCTATGTGGCCCCTGAGAACCTGCCTGCACTCCTGCTGTTGCTGCTACTGTATGGGTGAGGAGGGCCCCACCTGGTGCTGAGGAGGGAGATGGGACTTCACTGCAGCTCCTGAGAGACAGGAGGTTATCTCAGGCATACTAACTTCAGTGGTATGCTAGTGTGGCCTTAAAAGCTCATCATGAGCCAAGCCCACTGATGCCTGTAATCTCATCACTCTGGGAGGCTGAGGCAGGAAGATCTCCAGTTCAAGCCTGGCCTCCATAGAGTCATCTGTGGCCCTTGTCACCCCCACAGCTGGTCAATCACACCACTCATGTACCCAGCCTCCTTCTTCTTCTCCGTGCCCAGCACTGCCTATGTGGTGCTCACCTGTATTAACCTCTTTATTGGCATTAATGGCAGCATGGCCACCTTTGTGCTCGAGCTCTTATCTGACCAGGTAGGACTCTGTGAAGGGCCTGGGCTTGGGATGGATTGCTTCAGTTCTCTGAGCTGCAGCTTCTTCCTGCCTCCCAAACAGAACCTCCAGAATGTGAGCCGAATCTTAAAACAGGTATTCCTGATCTTTCCCCATTTCTGCCTGGGCCGAGGACTCATTGACATGGTGCGGAACCAGGCCATGGCTGATGCCTTTGAGCGCCTGGGTAAGGACTTCCTGTCTGGTGGGGTGAGGATCAAGGGGCTAGGAGGGAAAATTACTCCTAGGGAGAGAACTAAGCACTTGAGGCATCCCAAAAGCTAGGCTGTTAGAGGTACAAGCATGCAGTACAAACTGTAACATGAAGTTGTAAAAACTAATTCTATTTGGGTCACATCACAACTAGTCTAAATAACAGAGGTGATATGTTAGGGGATTTTTTTTTCTTTTAGTTTTGAGACAGGGTCTCACTGTGTTATTTAGGCAGGTCTTGAACTTGCTTCTGTAGCTTAGACTGCTTCAAACTCATGGCAGTTCTCCTGCCTCAGCCTTCTGGGTGCTGGCATTACAAGTACGCACCACTACACCTGGTGGTATGTCTATTTTCTATGCAAATTAGAGCCAAGCTGAGCAGCCCACCCAGAATTTGTTCCTTCCACCTAAGAATCCAGGGTGGATTGAAGAAGGTGCCAAACACCAAGGCCTCCAACAACTTTCCTTCCTATACTCACAGGAGGTAGCCAGTTCCAGTCACCTCTGCGCTGGGAGGTGGTTGGCAAGAACCTCCTGGCCATGCTGGTGCAGGGACCCCTCTTTCTCCTCTTCACGCTTTTGTTGCAGCACCGGAACCACCTCCTACCACAGTCAGTGGGGAACCAGGGAAGGGAGGCAGGGGCCAGAGACCTACTGGAAGCTCACTCATGTCATTTATCCTTAGCCCGAAGTTGCGGCCACTGCCACCCCTCGGGGAGGAGGATGAGGACGTGGCCGAGGAAAGGGAACGGGTGACCAAAGGAGCCACCCAGGGGGATGTGTTGGTGCTCAGGGACCTGACGAAGGTAGACACAGCTGGGTGGAGAGCTGGCCTGGGGTCCCCTCTGGCCCTCTTCCTTTCTCAGTGACCTGCATCCCTTCCAGGTGTACCGGGGGCAAAGGACACCAGCTGTAGACCGCCTGTGTCTGGGGATTCCCCCCGGAGAGGTGAGGGGACCAGGGGCTGTGGATGTAGGAGTCTGCTGAGCATACTTTACGAAGTCCTATGAGGACTACTGTGTATCCAGCACCCTCCCAAGTGCCTGTCTTTGAAGTCACATTAACAAGCTCTCATGAAATGTCTGTTGCAGGGTTGACATGGGGGTGCACACCTGTAATCCCAGCACTCTGGCAGGCAGAGGTAGGATGATCCCAAGTTCAAGTCCAGCCTGGGTAACTTAGCAAGACTCCAACTCAAAGTAAAAAATACAAAAGGTTGGGGATGCACCTGGTATTCCATCCCCAGGACTGCAAAGAAGTAAGCACCTACTACATGATTAATAATTAATTAATTTTTATATATTTATTTGGTTTTTTGAGATAGGATTTCGATACATAGCCCAGGCTGTCCTTGAACTCATGGTGATTCTCCTGTCACAGTTTTCCTAGTTATAGGTCTGCACCACCATACCTGGCCTCTGTTTTATTTGTTCTGGTTTATGATTACATTTACTGAGCACTCCATGTGGTCCCCAAAAGCGTACTGAACACATTCGTGTCAGTTGCCTTTTCTCAAGCATTTGTGGGAGCCCCACTATACGCACCCCCATAAGACACACTCACTCGCAGCCAAGACTTATCAAGCAACCCAGTTTGTCCCAGTTTGTATGTGTCCTCATGTGCTAACTTACTATGTGCCATTTGGTGGCACCCGTGAGGTGTCTGACATGTTGTGAGCTAGGGCACAGTGTGCTGTTTGCCAGCCCTACTCTCACTCGGGAGGAGGCGGTGTTTCTCATGAGTACCCAGTGGGTACACATCTGACAGTATTGACCCTGGTACTTGTGTGGTGACCTCCTAGGGCACCTGCTGGGTGCCTGACTCCATTAAACAAAACCTACTACCTGTCCCAGCTAAATGCCAGCTCTCTGCATCCCCATGAAAGCCAGTCACCTTCCTGGGGCTCCCCAGGCCCCAGGCCCCATGAGGAATCCCAGCCACATGGGAACCAGGGCCTCACCGAGCCCTGTGTGCTTCCCATAGTGTTTTGGGCTGCTGGGGGTGAACGGAGCAGGGAAAACGTCCACTTTTCGCATGGTGTCAGGGGACACGCTGCCCAGTGGAGGCGAGGCCGTGCTGGCAGGCCACAGGTGAGAGGACTCCAGGGGATGGGCTACGGGAGTTGACTGAGCCAGTGCTCTGCACCACCACGGGTACCCCATTCCCCCTGCGAGGAGACCAGGCCCCAAGACACAAGGCCTTGGCTAGCGTGGGCCTGGATGGATGGATCCTGAAGCCCTGGTGTGTGGCTCCAGTATGGCCACTTCCCCAAGCCTCCTGTCCCCTGCTTCCCAGCGTGGCCCAGGAACCAGCCGCTGCACACCGCCGCATGGGCTACTGCCCTCAGTCCGACGCCATTTTCGAGCTGCTCACAGGGCGTGAGCACCTGGAACTATTTGCACGTCTGCGTGGAGTCCCGGAGGCCCAGGTGGTGCAGGTGAGCTGCCAGCTCCTATTCCTGGGGCAGCCTCAAACTGCGATTTAATTCTGCTGTCCTTGGTCCCCGCCCCTGCCCCATACTTCATTCCGGAATCACACCCCTCCTGGCCACGCCCCAGATGCTGACCCCACCCCCCAAGCAAATGCCCTCTATGCCACAGTCCCCTGCACTCCTGGTCACACCCTCCAGCTGTGGTGCTCAAGCTCTTGGCTCCGCCCCTGTCCCGTGCTCCCAGATCCTGCTTGGTTCCATCATGGGCTCGGCCCTCCCAGCAGCTCCTCCTCAGCCCTCAACTGCTTTGTCATCCCCACTACCTGTGCACCCCTCGCTGTGGCCTCCATTTAGAACTTCGCATTTTTCACTCGAGGGTCCCTTCTGGCTCTCTTTGCCACTCAGCTTTGCATCGCCACTGGCTACACTTTACCTCCCTGGCCCTGTTCTGTGCGCTGTGCTCCTTAGGGCTGCCCCACTGCATGCTCACCCTAATGCTGCCCGTCCTTCTCTTCCTGCCCTGTACCCACTCCAGCCTTTCTGCATCTCTCCGAACCTCCCCACATCAACTCTGCCTCCACCCCCTGTTCATTCTGGCCCCAGCCCTGGGTCAGTGCTGCCCGGTGCCCTCTCTAGCACGTCCAGTGCTCTTCATGGCCCTTCCCTCTTCCACTCTGGCCCCACTCCCTACTTACTCTGGCCCGCCCCATTTCACGTGGCCCCGCCCCATTGTCATGTGGCCCCGCCCCTTGCTAGCCCCCTTTGCCTATTCTGCTCCTCCCCATAAGCCCTGTGACCCCGGCTCACTCCGGCTCACTCCGGCCCGCGGCAAGCTCTGTAACCACACCTCTGTCCACAATGATCCCACCCCATATGACCCCACCCCGTAGACTGCCAGCTCCGGCCTGGCGCGCCTTGGTCTCCTGGGGTACGCAGACAGACCCGCAGGCATCTACAGCGGGGGCAATAAGCGGAAGCTGGCGACGGCAGTGGCTTTGGTGGGGGACCCGGCAGTGGTGTTTCTGGTGCGTGGGGGGCTCTGGCGGGGAGGGGTATGGGACGGGGTTGGGGAGGAGGCAGGACTCATCTAGTGCCTTCCCCTCTTCCCAGGATGAGCCCACCACCGGTATGGACCCCAGCGCAAGGCGCTTCCTCTGGAACAGCCTCCTGGCTGTGGTGCGGGAGGGCCGCGCCGTGGTGCTCACTTCGCACAGGTGGGCCCTGTGCCACCGCGCCCTCTGGGCGCAGGTCGAGGAGGTCCGGCCCGGGGAGAGGTTGACTAGCGCACAGGTGTATGCGCTTGGGGAGGTTTTGATCTGGTGGGGTGAAGGTCCCGAGACAGGAACCTCTTAGAGCATCCTGGGCCCGATGGGAATCCCAAGGTCTGGCGGGAGGGTCCTGGCCAGGAGAGTATAGGTGCACGCCGCCATTGGCTTATGGAGTGGGGATCCTGCAGCATGGAGGAGTGTGAGGCACTCTGCACGCGCCTGGCCATCATGGTGAACGGGCGGTTCCGCTGCCTGGGCAGCGCACAGCACCTCAAAAGCAGGTGAGCACTCCAGGTGACAGGTCTCCCGGAGGTAGAGTTGTGGGCGGGGCACGGGAGCCACCAGACCTGGAGTCAGAAGGAAAATTGGAACCAACTGATTAGGTGGTGGGGACTGTGGCTTGTAGCAGAGGTGGGGGGGAGTGAGGTAGGCTGGATCACGAGGGAGACTTGATGTGATTGGTTAGGTCGAGGCTGTGGGTGGGTCCATAAGCGGGGTTAGTGGAAGGTTGGGGAGTGGGCGGGGCCTTCAGATGGGGCGCTCCTAAAAAAGTGGTGAGAGGTGGTAGAGCAAGTTAGGGCGCACCAAGTGGAGGCACATGTGTTGGTAAGGGAGTCAGATGGGCTCACAGCTGAGTGTGACTTTGGGGTTACTTGTAAAGAAGGGGAGCCAGAGAGTAGTAGGGGAACTACAGGTTGTGAGCAGGTTTAGAGGAGTTGCTAGTTCGATGATTGTGTCCTAGAGAGGTGAGGAGGGGCCCTGAGTGGAAGTGGGCGGGGTCTGGAGAGTGGGCGGGGCTTTGGAGTGTGAGGTAGGAGGGAGGTCAAGTAGGAGCTAGGGCAAATCCCAGCGCTGGGTAGATGTCAGTTGGGGTCCAGACAAAGAAACCCAGGATGGTGTGGGCAGGCTGTGGGGTGCGGTGGCCTGTGGACAATTGTGGTACACCTGGTACTGTCCACTCCAGGTTCGGGGCTGGCCACACGCTGACCCTGAGGGTGCCCACACACCGCCCAGAGCAGGCAGCGGCCTTTGTGGCAGCCGAGTTCCCAGGGGCTGAGCTTCGGGAAGCGCATGGGGGCCGCCTACGCTTCCAGCTGCCTCCAGGAGGGTGCTGTACCCTGGCGCGAGTGTTCGGGCAGCTGGCGGTGCATGGCTTTGAGCACGGTGTAGAGGACTTCTCCGTGAGCCAGACCACGCTGGAGGAGGTGACCACTATGCGGGTCGGGGCTGGGGACATCCGAGGCCAGAGCCTGGGCTCACAGTCCCTCCTCCTGCCCTTTTTCCCTGGGCCAGGTATTCCTGTACTTCTCCAAGGACCAGGGGCAAGATGTGGATGAGGATGAGAACCAGGAGAAGGAGGCAGAGATGGGGGTGGGCCTGGCACCAGGCCTGCAGTGCCCCACACGCACCTCGAGTTGGTTTCTTGATGACCCTAGCACTGTGGAGACAGTGCTCTGAACCTTCCTGTCTGGGGGCAGGGGGAAGCCCCCAATGCCAGAACAAAACAGGTGAGGTTGCTGGTCATGATGATCCATACCTATCATCCCAACACGCAAGAGACTGAAGCAGGAAGACCACTAAGAGTTGGTGGCCAGCCAGGGCTGCATAGTTCAAGGGCAGCATGGACTACATCCATAACAAGACCTTGACTCCAAACAAACAAAAATAACTCTAAAGGAGATATGAAAGACCAAGGAGCTGGGCTGAGCTCCCAGTGAACATAAAGCCCTGGAGAAATAAAGAGAAGTCTGGAAAGAGGTGGTGTGGACATTGTGGCTTTGTGGCAAACATGTGGGGCCCGGGAGTAGCTTGGTGTCTTGTCCCCAGGTCCCTGTGTGCCTACATGCACCTGGCACCTAAGGGTGATAGCTGAGAGTGCTCTGACCCGTGAAGTGGGGATGAGGTCAGGGCTCCGGAATGTCCCAGGTGCCTTAGCAGAGCCTGGTGAACCTGCCTTCCCACCAGCCCGGAACCCTCTGCCCACTGGCCTTTCCTGCTAGGGCCCCAGAGCAATGAGTGGGCCACAGACCGTCTTCAAGGGGCTGCTGGGCTGGGTATGCAGTTGGAGCAAGGCCTGGAGAGCTGGGTTTGGGACAGGGGACTGTGGGCTTCCTGGCCTGTGCCCCAGAGAAGCACACCTTCCTCCGAAGGTGAGTTTGGATATCTGGGGTGGGGCTGGGGAGGTGCAGCGATTTTTTTTTTCCTATATTTACTAGGGATTGAACCCAGGAACTCTGAACTGAGCTACGTCCTCAGATCTTAATTTATTTTTTATGTATTTAGTACAGGTCTACAGGGTCTCACTACACAGATCGGACTCGTAGTGATTCTCTTGTTTTCAGCCTCCGAAGCGCTGTGATTACAGGCTCATGCCACCACGCCCAGTCTCAGCTGCCATCTCAGTGCACCCAGGGGGCAGGGCTGGCACAGCAGGCCAGGGATTGAACCCCATCTACTGTGCTCTTCCTAAGCAGGCTCTTTAGTCCACTGAGCTATCTGACCAGCCCTCATATTTTATTTTCGAGACAGTCTTGCTAAGCCACTAAAATGCTCAGACTGAGCTTGAACTTGTAGTCTTCCTGCTTCAGCCTCCCAGCACCATGGCCAGATCTGGGTTTTTTAATCATAGGACAGAATGGAGGGGGATGTGGCTCAGTGGCAGATCACTTGCCTAGTATGTGCAAGGTCCTAGGTTCAATCTCTCAGAATTCCCGTGGGGCGGGGGAATGGTAGTATAATTATGTGATGACCCAGCACAGGACTAAAACTGGGGATGGAAGAATTCTGTGGCCAGGAGGACAGGTTTGGGGACGGGTCAGCATAGTAGCTGCCTCAGCTCTGGGACTGATGGGTCACACCGTGTGACTAGCCTTCTCTGCTGCCCCTGTGTCCTGAGGCACCCCCTTGCAGGTGGGAAGGACAGCAAGGGGTGGGCGGTGAACCAAGCTGTTGTGAGTACTGAGCAGAACTGGGGGAGCCAACAGGAGACAGAGTGGCTCGGTCTGCAGGGGCGAGTTTGGCCACTGTTGTGGTTGAGATCTGAGAGTGGAGCTCTGTGTGCCACGTCCAAAAGTGTGTACAAATCCATGTCCCTGTGGGTGGCCAGACACAGCTGTATGCACCCGTTTGTTTGTTTCCCCAGTACTGTAGATTAAATGGAGGTCTTTGCTTTATCTACATCCCCAGCTCTTCCTCTACGTCTCCTTCCCCCTCCCCCACCTCCTCCTTCTTATGAGATAGGGTCTGTGCAGTCCAGGCTGGCCTTGAACTCACTATGTAGCCCTGTGGGGGCTTGAACTTGCAGCTATAGTGTCTCAGCCTCCAAAGTTCTGGGGTGAAGGCGTGTGCCCCGAAGGTGGTTGCATCTAGGTGGGTGTGTTGGACGGAGGGTCAGGGCTCTGTTGCCTGCGCTGTGTGTCTGCCTCCCCTGGTGCCCACTGACGGCGTGCATGCCAAGGAGGACGCACGTCCTGTCTACTCCCCCACCGCGCGGGCGCGCACCTCGTGAAAGCGGAAGCCAGAGTAGGGGCGAGGGGCGGAGCGGGGCGGGGCGTTGGAGACCAACGTTCGCGCCCACACTGCAGAGCGACAAGCTGAGGCCTGGAGGGAGGCGGGTCCTCAGCACCGCCTCCAGAGCCCTAGTGCACTGCGACGCCCAACGCGGGCGAATGAGGGCCCGGTCTGTCACGTGGGCGTGACAGCTGCAGAGGGGTGGTCCGGGGCAATGTGGTCGAGAGGCAGCCTGGGCTTGGAGCCTCAGCGCTGAGGACCCCAGCCCCGCCTGCCGGACCCCGGACCCCACCCCAGGCTGCCCAGCCAGCCACACCATGTTCTCCAGGAAAAAACGCGAGCTCATGAAAACCCCTTCCATCTCCAAAAAGAACCGCGCGGGAAGCCCCAGCCCGCAGCCGTCGTCGGGGGTGAGTGGGGCACAGAGCGCAGGGTGCAGAGCGGGCGGGAGCTGGGGCCACAACGAGGACTGCGAGGGGCAGCACCTTGCTACCATGCTGGGTCGGCGACCGGGGTCCCGCACCAGCTACAGCCCCCAGCGGGCTGGACAACGGGGACAGCAGAGGGGAGCCTGGCACCTGGGAGTCTGGCTAACGGTACGGGGTGGTGTGTGGCGCCTGATCTGATACTGCTGGAACCCAGAGTGGGTAGGGAAGGGAGGGGTCGAGGTGGGGCTATGGGGGACTGCACAATGGGCAGCAAGGGCTCAGGTCTTTTGGGGGTCCCAGGAGCTGTTGGGAGTTCAGGGGCTTGGCACTGGGTTAAAGGCTTACGCGGGATCATTTAATGGAGCCATCGGTAACAGGGATCTGAGGCTGTTTCCGGGACCTGGGTGTGTCTAAGAATCTTAGGGGTGTCTACGAAGTTTGGGGTACCTGTTAAGTTTGGGATGCATGTAGGGAGGACCCGGAGGTGGCTACAGGATTTAGGGGTTCCCTCAATGCCGAGGGTACAAGGAACCTCAGAGTTGCATTTCCTGGGAAGTGAGCCCATCTGTGGGACTGGGTGGGGGGCGGCTGCAGGGGGGATAGGCCCCTCTCTGGCTGCTCCAGCCCCACCAGGAAGCCAGCACCCCTCCCCCTCGCCCTCCACAGGCCCCGCCCCACTGCGGTTTGGGCAGGGACCGTTGTTTGTGAAAGCACCAGGGAAGAGGATGTTGGGTAACAGGTGGGGGGGCACAGCCCCAAATCTCAGCCCCCTGACGCCGGCCTTTGATGTACGGAGTGGGGCTGAAGACCCTCTGGGGCCCCTCTGCCTGTCTGAGGAAACTGAGCCAGTGTGCAGGATGTGACATCCACTTTACTGACCCCCTCCGCCCTCCCAGGAGCTTCCCAAGAAAGATGGGGCCGATATTGTGTTCCCTGGACCTGGTCTCGATCCTGCAGTCTCATCCTCTGGTGTCAAGACCACAGCCACCCTAAAGCGGCCCACCAGCCTCAGCCGCCACGCCAGCGCTGCTGGCTTCCCACTCTCTGGCTCAGGCTCCTGGACACTAGGCCGCGGCTACCGAAGCCCCCTGACAGCCGCCAGCCCTGCAGAGCTGCCCAATGAGGGGCCTGGTGCTGAGGCCTCGGATGACATCTCAAACGTGCTGGCTGATGTGGCCCGCTTTGCAGAGGGTCTGGAAAAACTCAAGGAGTGTGTATTGCATGATGGTGAGTGGCCTGGGTGGGTGAAAGGCAAGGCCAGACACACAAAGTACTAAGAACAGACTTGGATTGCAGAGAGAGCTGTGTGGACCAGGACATTATGGCTAAGGTTCTGAGGGTTGTATAAGAGTTTGGTGGCAAGTAGAGGCAAGGGTGTTGGAGCAGAGGGAATGTCCCATGCACAGAATGAAAAATATGGAAATACAAAATGGATTCAATGGTGTGTGTTGTGTGAGGTTGAAGAGAAGAGAAAGCCAAGCTGAAGAACTCTGGGTCTTCTTTATGGGAAGTAGGGAACCTTACAAAATGTTAAGAGATGAGGACAGTGGAGTCCTTCTTCGCTTGGAGTCATGTGGACTAGAGGTGGCCTGAGGTCTGTGGTGGAGCACCCAGGAGTGTCAGTGCCAGGCAGGAGTGCTGGGAGTGAGTGGCCTGTGAGATAGATAGTTCCGTTTTCTCTTCCACGAGGCTACGACAGCCCAGCTTCCTGCCAAGTTATTTTCATCTGCTTCCTGTTTGTCCCTGGCAGCCAGGCGGGTACCTCAAACTGGGGCAGGCACAGCACCTTATGTGGCATCTTTGGGCCCCACCAGCTGATACCGGAAACAAGAGCGCCACGCACCTTGCTGGTTGCCCTCAGCGGCCCATTCCACAGATAGGGAAACCGAGGCCCAGCAGGCTGAACCCCAGCCTTCAGGGTGCTGAGGGCGGGTTTCTGTGGCTCTGTTGGGGAGGGAGAGATCCCTGGTTATCTGGTCCCAGGGTGGAGGCCTGTTTCCTGGGGAAACGCTAATCACCATTCCTTTCCGATCCTGGGTTTCCTTGGAGGCCTGGCCTGGGCGGGGTGAGCAGGGGTGTCCTGTAGGCGGGCAATTTGGAGGAATCTAGGGGTCTCTGCGTCTCAGGAAGGGGCACGGGATGTGGGTTAGAGTCCCCATCTGCTTCCGTGCTACTGCCCTGTCTGGGCCTTCCAGATTGTGTGAGACTCAGGGTTTGGTGGTGCACACCTGTCATTCCAGCGGTCTGGGAGGCTGAGGCAGGAGGACTGAAACTTGCAGCCTTGCCGGAGGATCTGAGCAACTTAACAAGACCATGTCTCAAAAAAGGAGTCGGGTATAGCTCAGTGGAGGAACGCCTCTAAGTTCCATCCCCAGTACCACACAAGAAAAAGAAAGTGGGCGAGAACCAGGCGTGGTGGTGCACACCTGGGGCCAAGACAGGAAGCTCAGACAGGAGAGATCATCATGAGTTCCAGGCTGGCCTGAACTACATATCAAGACCCCATCTGCAAAAGCCAAACGAAGAAATGGGGCTGGGAGCACAGGCCCTGCAGTTGGTGGACGGGTCACTGGGAGGCTAAGGATGCTGTGGCTGCTGTGGGTCTCACACTGCAGCTGGCTGCGGTCCACAAAGCCTTGTCCCTTAGCCCAGTCTTCCCATGTTTTGGGCTTCAACTCCAAGCCCCTATTTGAGCCCCTGTTTCCCTATCCATTTTAATCCACCTGTCCCGGAATAGCACAGTTTTTTTGTTTTGTTTTGTTTTTTTCAGAACCGGGGCTGGAACTCAGGCCCTTACGCTTGCCAGGCAAGCGCTTATTCTACTGAGCCATCTCCCCGGCCCCTAAGCGCAGCTTTAATCAGGATTCTCTCCAACCAATAGCAGGAGAGCTACATCCCTGGCCCTATTTTGTGGCTTCTTGAAACAGTCTGGCTGTGTAGCCTGGGTCGGCCTTGAATTGGCAGCGGTCTTCCGCCTCAGCCTCCCAAGTTCTAGGATGGCAGGAACCATGTGTGCTACCGTGCCCAGCTAGATAGCTCATTTGTTTAAAAAAATCTTCCAACTTAAGAGGACTTTTTTGCTCCATACCTGCTGTGGCTTCAGGGAGCTGAAGCACGGAGGCCCCCATACCCCCGGCCAGCAGAGATGGGAGAGCTGCATGCAGTTAAATTTTATTTATTTTTTTGTTTATTTATTTATTTGGTGTAGGGTCTCGTTATGTGGCTTGGATTTGTAGTGATCCTCATGTCTCAGCCTCCCAGGGCTGGGATTACAGGTGTGTACCACCTCACCCTGTTTTAGGGTCGGGCACAGCATGGCATGCGGTGACAGAGATCAAACCAGGGTCCTTGCGCTTGCCAGGCAGGCGCCTAGACCTCCGAGCTGTCTCCCCTGCCTGCTGTGCACAGTTAATGATTTCTCCTTTCTTCCTTGGTAACATGGAGGCATGGAGAGTGCCTGGCTTCTAAGTTTGCTTGCTGTCAAGAGGGGACCCAGAGGGGTTGCTCAGGGCCCAGGCGGGCAGGACAGGGAGAAGGCGGGTGAGGCCTGGAGCTGTCCTGGAGGGGCCAGGGAAGGGCTGGGTGGGCTGACCGGGAAAGATGGCCCAATCAGGATTTGTTCCCTGAGAGGCTGGGAAGTATTTTGAGGAGAAATGACTGTTTAAAGTGCGGTACAAGCTGAGCGTGGTGATGCATACCTGTTATGCCAGCACTCGGGAAGCTGAGGCAGGAGGATCAGTGCGAGCTTGAGACCAGCCTGGGCTACAAAGTAAACTCAGTGCCAGCCTGAGCTGCACAGTGAGACCTTGTCTCAAAAAGACTAAATAAATAAATCTGAGGTGGGGCCTTTGTGGACCTCCCCGGGACCCCAGAGAGAGTGTCCCCCTCTTTGTGGTCTTCTTGTCTTTTGGAGATAGTTTCATTATGCAGTCAGTCCAGGCTGGGCCCGAACTCTCAACGATCCTCCTGCCTCAGCCTCCTGCATGCTAGGATTACAGGGGTATTCCATCACATCCGACCGCCTCACTTTAACAGTTGCTCTCACCTACCTGTGCCTCAGTTTCCCCCTTTGGGACAGCAGCTTTGAGTAGACAGGGATACATTTCCTGGGACAGGACACCTCTTTCCCTGCTCACATCCACTCTGCCCAGCAGACCTCCAAGAGGCCCGCCGGCCGCTGGCCCATGAGTGCCTGGGTGAGGCCCTACGTGTGCTCCACCAGGTCATCTCCAAGTATCCGCTGCTGAACACCGTGGAGACGCTGACTGCTGCAGGAACACTTATCGCCAAGGTTAAAGGTTAGCAAAGAGCTAGGCCTGGAAGGGCTTCAAGGAGGAGGGGATATCTGAACTGGGTTTTGAAGAATGGGTAGGAGTTTGATGGGCACAATTAATGTTCCCCTACTGGGCAAAACCTTTGGTTAGTTACAATGATAGTGTAGGGGCTGGGAATATAGTTCAGTGGTGCAGTACCTGCCTGGCAACCATAAGATCCTGAGTTTGATTCCTGGTACTAAGGAAAAAAAGATAGTGTGGGCCAACCATGTGTTCTTGCCTCTGCTTGCCAGCTTTTCATTATGAAAGTAACAATGAGTCCGACAAGAGGGAGTTTGAGAAAGCCCTGGAAACCATCGCGGTGTCCTTCAGCAGCACGTGAGAGGGGCATCCTGAGCCAGGGGTGGGGAATGGGGGTGCCAAGGGTCCCCAGCCACTGACCCTCTGGCCCTGCAGTGTGTCTGAGTTCCTCATGGGTGAGGTAGACAGCAGTACACTCCTGGCGGTGCCACCTGGGGACCCCAGCCAGGTGAGCAGAGGAGGAGGGACAACCCTGTCACCTGGGAACCTCGGGGTGTATTGAGATGGGGAAGTCACATGAGTGTCCCCCTGCAAACAGACCATGGAGAACCTGTACCAGGGCAGCGAGGGTTCCTCAACCAGTGCAGAGGACTGCGAGGGTGAGTATCGATAGGCCGCAGGGTAGGGCAGGGAGGACGCCCCTCTAATGGGTCCCAGCTGAGCAGGCACCCTGCAGGCTGCCTGCCCCCGGAGGAGGTGGACATGCTGCTGCAGCGCTGCGAAGGCGGCGTGGATGTGGCTCTGCAGTATGCCAAGAACATGGCCAAATACATGAAGGATCTTCTTGGCTATCTGGAGAAGCGGACTGTGTTGGGTGAGCGCATGCGCAATGAAGTGAGCGGGTCTGGCAGGTGGAGCAGAAAACTTTGTCCCCTGCCTGACCATGCCCCCTTAACACCCCCAGAGCTGGAGTTCGCCAAGGGTCTGCTGAAACTCATCCACAGTTCCAGACAGAGTGTCGTACACGAGGTGGGCTCTGAGTGGGCACGGGGCAGGGACTTCCCCTCTATGACTGGGCACTATAATCCCAGAACTCTGGTAGGCTGAGGCAGGAGGATTGAAAGTTTTTGAGTCCTATCTGGACAATTTAGTGACTTAGCAAGATCCTGTTTTCAAAATAAATTAAAAAGGAGTAGAAATATAGCTCAGTAGCAGAAGGCTCCTGTGCTCCATGCCAAACACCACAAAAAGAAGAAAAAAATAAAAAGTCAAAATTCATCTTTGTGTGATGGGGTAGCCTATAATCCCAGCACTATGGGAGGCTGAGGCAGGAGGATCCTAATTTTGAGGCCATCCTGAGCAACTTAGTGACTTTGCAAGACTCTGTCCTAAAATAAAGGCTAGGGAAGTAGCACAGTGCAAAGACCCTGAGTTCAATCCCCAGTAACATTTCTTAAAATGTTGCAGAAATAGGGGCCGGGGAGTTAGCTCAGTAGAATAAATGCTTGCCTGGCAAGCGCAAGCTTGAGTTCAATCCCCGGTTCTGCCAAAAAAAAAAAAAAAATTGCAGAAATATTTTCTTCTAATATTGTAGAAATTGAGGGAGAGAGTTGACAGGGAGGTGGTGGCTGGGAGTACTGGGGCCACCACCGTCCCAATGTCTCCCTGACTAGCGACTGTCCTCCTGCAGCCCCACATGCCTCTACTGTCCATCTTCTCGCTGGCCCTGGAGCAGGACCTAGAATTTGGCCATGGCATGGTACAGGCGATGGGAACACTGCAGACGCAGACCTTCATGCAGGTGTGGTGCAGGGCATGGAGGGTGGCCAGTGGGTGCATCCCCAGGGTCCCCACTCATGTCCCATCTCACCCCAGCCCCTCACTCTGCGGCGGCTGGAGCACGAGAGGCGAAGGAAGGAGATCAAAGAGTCATGGCAACGCGCACAGCGGAAGCTGGTAGGAGGGTGGGGCAGGTGTGTCTGCGGGGCCGGCCCAGTGTCCTGTGCTGGCCTCTGGCACCTGGGATGCGCATGGGCCCTCACAAGCTCCAGTGCAGGACTCAGACCTGATCCTGATTCAAGGATTCCCAAGTCCAGGGTCCGGGGAGATGGCTCAGTAGAATAAGAGAGTTGAATGGCAGCAAGAACTCCATAGCAAGACTCTCAAAAAAAAAAAAAAAAGAAAGAAAAGAAAAAAAAGAAACACTAAAATGTTTTGTACTAACTTGTCCACCCTGTACTCAAACTTGTGTTCCACCTGCTTCTGCCTCCCAGGAGGGTGCTGGGATGCCATGGTGCATGCCACCAAGCACAGCTTTAAAAAAAAAAAAAAAAAAAAAAAGCCTTTTGTGTCACTTATCTCAAAAGGCCTTGCCCTCATTAGGGTTCTTTTTAAGGATTATTTCACAAATTGTATTAATTCTCTTTGGGGGGGGTGGGCATTAAACTCAAAGTGAGTACAAGCCACACCCAGCATAACCCATTCTTTTCTGAATGCTGAAGCTTTTGTGGTCTAGAGGGCTGTAGCCCTCCCCGCCTCCCCCTCCCTGCCCCCCAGTTTCTGGCCAAGCGCTTCCTGAGGCGCCCCAGGGCTGCCGACTTCCTCCTGCCTGGGCGGCCCCTGTTTCATCTCTTGGAAGGGAAGTGAAATCAGCTGAGAGGAGCGGTGCAGGCCTGCACCTTCAAGGGGGCTAGCTTCTGTTCAGAGCTCAGCCAAGCTGGGCCTCAGCCTCCCTGGCTGGGACATGAGCTCCCGTTTGGCTTGCCGGGGCGGGCTATGGGATTCCAGGGAGCACATGCTGGGTGCGAGAGGTTGGAGCTGGTCTCCCTCCCACACCTGCAGCAAGAAGCCGAGGCCAACCTGCGCAAGGCCAAGCAGGGCTACATGCAGCGCTGCGAGGACCATGACAAGGCCCGCCACCAAGTGCTCAAGGCCGAGGAAGAACAGGCAGCCACTTCGCCGGGGGTGAGCAGCGCAGCTTCTAAGACACTGGACAAGCGGCGGCGGCTGGAGGAAGAAGCCAAGAACAAGGTTGGGTCATGGTTTGAGACCCTGGGGTGCATTTCCCACCTCCAGGCTTTGGCCTGGACCTCAACTCCTTGTAAGAGTACCCTTCCCAGTATGTGTGGTGGTGCATACCCATTATTCCAGCATTCTAGGAGGCTGAGACAGGGAGATCTCAAACTCTAGCCCAGCCTGGACAACTTAGCAAGATCTTGTCTCAAAAAAAAGGGGGGCAGGGGAGATGATGTAACTTATGTAAAGACCCAAGATTCTGTCCCTAGGGCCAAAATAAATACATAATAAAAAATGCCCTTCCCACTCTCTGCCTGGCTCCTTCCAAGAATATTTATTTATTTATTTATGTTTGAGACAAGGTCTCCCTATGCAGTTCAGACTGCCCTTGAACTTACAACATAGCCCAGGCTGGCCTCAAACTCCTGGCGATCCTCCTGCCTCAGCCTCCCAAGCGCTGGGACGCCAGGGGTGCACCACCACTCCCAGCTCTCTGGAGATTTCCCTATCAGGCTGGGCTATACCCTGGCTGAGGCCTGAGCCCCTGGCTGAGTCTATACCTATCCCACCCACCCCAGGCGGAGGAAGCCATGGCCACTTACCGCACATGCGTGGCCGATGCCAAGACACAGAAACAGGAACTGGAGGACACGAAGGTGACCGCGCTGCGGCAAATTCAGGAGGTCATCCGCCAGAGCGACCAGACCATCAAGTCGGTGGGTGGCCCTGCTGTGCGCCCCTGGCGTGGGGTGAGGCGGCTGCGGCTGTGATCTAGCACCTAGGTCTAGCACCTGCTGCCTCTCCCCCGTTTCCATCTGCACCTGCAGGCCACCATCTCCTACTACCAGATGATGCACATGCAGACGGCGCCGCTGCCCGTGCACTTCCAAATGCTGTGCGAGAGCAGCAAGCTCTATGACCCCGGCCAGCAGTATGCGTCACATGTGCGGCAGCTTCAGCGTGGCGAGGAGCCCGACGTGCGCTATGACTTTGAGCCGCATGTGTCCACCAACTCCTGGTACCTCTGCGAAGCCCTTCCCTGAGCCCTGCTTCCCACCTGCTGCAGGCCAGCCCCCTTTGTGACCTTGCACTCTGCCTGGGTCCCCACCAGGTCCCCAGTCATCCGTGCCCGGAAGAGCAGCTTCAACGTTGGTGACACTTTAGGAACAGAGGCCACCAGCTGCAGCCCCTCAGAGGAAGGAGGGCCCAGTGAGGGGACATCTGCCAAGGACCACAGGGGTGAGCACTGGCAGAGGCCCCGGGTGGACTTATACCTATCCCACCCACCCCAGGCAGAGGAAGTATAAGATATAAGTATAAGATATACCCCCAGCTCTGCATAAGATATACCCCCTTTGTGCTTCCCCAGGTGGACGGGGACACCAGGTGCACAAGTCATGGCCAATCTCTGTCTCAGATGCGGATGGCAGCCTGGACCCCAGTGCAGGTTCAGGTGAGAAGGCCGCCCTGACCCTCCTCTTGTCAAGGGGAAAGTGACAGTGTGTAGCCTGCCTCAGGTCTGGTTCATACTGGGACTCTTGACAGCTCTGTTTCTTGGGCAGGGGACTTTAAGAAGTTCCAGCGGATGTCGTCCAGTGGCACTGTGTCATCCGTTGAGGAGCTGGTGGACCAAGAAGGTGGAGCAGGGACGGCAGAGTTTGAACAGGGTGAGGGTACGTGAGCCAGGTAGTGAAGGGACTGAGCTTTGGACACAGTCTCCATTTGGCTCTGTCCCCCTCTTGCCTCATTGACATGGACTGTTTGTCCTGTCCCCAGATGACATCAACAGCATGGCCCCCCAGCTGCCAGTGGCTGTGCCCAGTGGGCCTTTCCGCCATGTCGGGCTGTCCAAGGCTGCGCGCACACATCGGCTCCGGAAGCTCCGCACACCAGCCAAGTGCCGGGAGTGTAACAGTTACGTCTACTTCCAGGGGGCTGAGTGTGAGGAGGTGCGTAGGGTGCATGCCTATCATCCTAGCACTTGGGAGGCCGAGGCAGGAGGAGCGCTGCAAGTTTGAGGCCAGCCTGGGCTGTATAGTGAGATCCTATATCAAAAAAAAAAAAAAAAGGAAAGAAAGGGGCTGGAACGAGGGAAGAGTGAGCAGGATCCAGAAGTGTAAGAGAGGCTGTGTTTAGCAAGTATTGGGGGATTCTGAGGGCTCGAGAGGAGGTGGGAGGTGGATCTGGGCATCTGTGCAGGGCTGGGCCACCACGGGGCCAGGACTCACTCCGTGCCATCCCCAGTGCTGTCTGGCATGCCACAAGAAATGCCTGGAGACCCTGGCCATCCAGTGTGGCCACAAGAAGCTACAGGGCCGCCTTCAGCTCTTTGGACAAGACTTTGGGCGCGCGGCCGCGTGCACCCCAGATGGCATCCCGATCATCGTGAAGAAGTGCCTACGCGAAATCGAGGAGCGCGCACTGCGCACCAAGGTGCAGGGTGGAGCAGACCTGTGGGGGGGGGGCAGGGCCAGGGAGGGGAGGGCGGGCCCGGGCTCACTGCCTCCCCACAGGGCATCTACCGAGTGAACGGGGTAAAGACACGCGTGGAGAAACTGTGTCAGGCGTTTGAGGCAGGCATGGAGCTGGTAGAGCTGTCACAGGCCTCGCCCCACGATATTAGCAATGTCCTCAAACTCTACCTGCGCCAGGTGAGTGGGACTCAAGGAGTGGTTGCCGTGGTTGCCGGCCTGGGGGCGGGGCCAGAGGCTGGCAAGGACGTGGTCTTGGCCGCAACAGGTCGGACACTGAGCTGGGGTGTGGTGAAATGCCATAGCCAATGTAGCTTAGTGTAATTGGCCGTGGCTAGAGCTTTATTGGGGTGTGGCCGTGACCTCCCAAGGTCCGAGGCTGGAGGCATGGTCAGAGTCTAGAGTGGGTGGAGCCTAGTGGTTGGGACGTGGCCAGAGCTCAGCCTGAGCAGGGCCTTGGCAACCCCTAGCCCAGTCTCACTGCCAGATCCTGTTCATTGCTCTGCAGCTGCCGGAGCCACTCATCTCCTTCCGCCTCTACCACGAACTGGTGGGACTGGCCAAGGACAGCCTGAAGGCCGAGGCCGAGGCCAAGGCGGCATCCCGGGGAGCCCGGCAGGATGGGTCCCAGAGTGAGGCTGCAGCCCTAGCTATGGCTGGCCGCCTGCGGGAGCTGCTCCGGGACCTGCCGCAGGAGAACCGGGCCACACTGCAGTATCTGCTGCGGCACCTGCGCAGGTCAGGGCCGTGGGCAGGAGTCTGGGGTGGTGGGATCTCCTGGGGCCACTCACACACTCTGGTCCCGCCCCGCCCACAGGATCGTGGAGGTAGAACAGGACAACAAGATGACCCCAGGGAACCTAGGCATTGTGTTTGGGCCCACACTGCTGCGGCCGCGACCCACCGAAGCCACCATCTCCCTGTCCTCACTGGTAGACTACCCCCATCAGGCCCGGGTCATCGAGACCCTCATCATCCACTACAGTGTGGTCTTTGAGGATGAATCAGAGGAAGGACTCAAGTCACAGGTCAGTCTGAGCCAGGACTGTGCATGGAAAAGGATGGACAAGGTCCTACGAGCACTTTGCTTTGGGCAGGACAGTTGGGAAGGTTGCTAGAAGGTGTCTTTATAGCAGAGAACTGGATGAAATAGCCCCGGGTGTACAGAGGCCCTATGGGCCAGCACTGTGCTTGGGAGGGCATATCAGAGCCTGCACAATCTGCACAGGTCCATGTTTGGGTCTTTTTTTTTCTCCTTTTTTTAGACAAGGTATCGCCCAGGTTGGCTTCAAACTCATAGGGATCCCCCTGCCTCAGCCTCTCGAGTACTGGGATTAGTTATAGGCTTGTACTATCACACCCAGCAGTTGGACCCATTTACCTGGCTACTTGGCTTGGATTTCATGCCTCTGAAATTTGTGTCTAGAATTTGTTTTCAGAGCTGGGCATGGTTGTGCACACCTGTAATCCCAGCACTTTGGAAGGCTGAGGCAGGAGGATCACAAGTTTGGAGCCAGCCTGGGCAACTTAGTGACTTAGTGAGACCCTATCTCTACTTTTGAAAAAAAAAAACAAAAAAACACTAAAATGGTATGCAAATTGTAGCCCAGCTCATTTGTGGTACAGCAGTTGTAAATGCATATTATAGACACCAGCAATGGAGTACAAGTAAGATTTCCATGTTAAAATTTAGAGAATGAATTACTGATAAACTATTCAGGAGCATAAATTTCTTTTAATTAAATAAATTTGATAACTTTAAAAAATATTTAAAATACTGGCCAGGTATGGTGGCCCATGCCTGTGATCCCAACACTTAGGAGGCCGAGGCAGGAGGATAACCCTGAGTTTGAGGCCAGCCTGGGCTACAAAATGAGACTCTGTTTCAAAATTTTAAGCATTATGTATGCATAGGAGCTCAGTGGCAGAGTGCCTGTTCCTAACTGTCACTGCAGTCACACACAGACACACACACATGGACTCTCAGGTGCCGGGGCTATTTGCCACAGCCTCAGCAGCAGCCAGAGTTAATCCTTTACAGATTTTATTGTAATTTTTTTAATACCTCCCCAATCCCCTTCCCTAGGAAGAGTCAAGCAGCCAGCGCACAGAGGTGGTGGTGCCAGTTCCCTATCTGGAGGCAAGGGAGGGAGCCACCTATGTCCTGCAGGAGGAGGATGGGGGCCGAGGTGAGGAATGGACGAGATGGGGCCTGGAACACTGTGCCACAGGTGCAGAAGGTGACGTGTGGTGTCTGAGAGGTAGAACAGCCACCAGACATGGTAGCACACTCCCGCTGTCCCAGCAGTCTGGGTGGCTGAAGCAGGAGGATCCAAAGTTTTGAGCTCAACCTAGACAACTCATCAACTTAGTGAGACCCTGTCACCAAATAAAAAATACTGTAGGGCCGGGGAGATAGCTCAGTGGAGTAAGTGCTTGCCTGGAAAGCGCAAAGTCCTGAGTTCAATCCCTAGTACCGCAAAAAAAAAAAAAAAATACTGTAAAGATTAGGGGGTGTGGCTCAGTATAAAAGCTTTGGATTCAGTCCACAGTACCAGAGAGAGAGAGAGAGAGAGAGACAGACAGACAGACAGACAGACAGACAGACCGACCGACCGACAGACCTGAAGCAGGCGTTAGGGAAGGACCCAGCAATTGAACTCAGGCTGGGACAGCCTCAGTTTTTGGTAGCCAGGGGACACCTGCCTCATCTCATTCTCTGTCTGGTTTTTCCAGAATACCGAGTGACTTCCAATGATTCTGACTCCGAGCTGGAGGAGACCTCAGACTCCCTGTCCCTGTCAGACGCTAGTGCCCTGCACCGCCTCAGCTTCATGGAGAAGCAGGAGGGGGAGGCCAGCCTCGAGGAAGGTCCCCAAAGCCGCAGTGGCAGTGAGGAGCAGCTGGGGGATGAAGATGAGGAGGGCCCAGCCCAGAAGCTGTCCACATACAACACGAACCAGTCCAACAACACAGCGCCAGCCTGGCTGCTGCCCATGAGACTCCGAGCTGGGTGCGTCGCAGAGGGCAGCTGTGGGGACAGGCGGCCGGAGTTCGTGTGAGCTGGGTGGCAGCATCACACCGCTGTTCTTCGGTCACTCCGGAGGGTCTGGGCTGCTCCGGGTCACTTCCGTGATGCATGCAGAGCTGCAAGGCCACCAGCCACCTCTCCTGGGACAGCAGGCCCTGGGGTCCACCCTGTGTCTGCGAGTTGGGCAGGCCAGGCTCAGCCTAGCTGGGGGTCTCTGCCTTCAGGGACATCACTGTCTGCCTTGTCAGAGCCCCCAAGTCACGAGGACTGAGCAGCTTGGTCCCTGGCAAGTGCCTGTCCCGTGGTCCCAGCGGGGATGCAGGCCCTTCCTGGACCTTGCGCTACCGCCATCTGAGTCTGTGTGGGCTGCAGGGAGGCTGCTGCTGGCCTGGGCTGTCCACTGGAGCTCTGGCTTCAGGAAGCTGTCACCTTTCTGGACAGCTGGACTTGGACAGCTGCGCTTCGGTACACAGCGCAGTCCCTCACAAGTCACAGTGTTCTTGCAAATTCAAGCTTCTGTCTGTTTTGCTTATAATAAACCTTTTCATCTAGTGGGGTTGGTTTGCTTATTTTTGTAGCACTGGGGATCGGACACAGGGCCTTTGCGCTGAGCTACATTCCCAGCACTTTTTAAAATATGTTTTTAACCCTGCACTTATGGGGCTGGGGAGATGGCTCAATGGAATAAGCGCTTTACTGGCAAGTGCAAGGGCCTGAGTTCAGTCCCAACATCTATGTTTTTAATTTTGTTTGGTTTTGGTTTTTTAGACACAGAGTCTTGGCACATGTAGTCCAGGCCAGCCTTGAAGTCAATCCATAGCCCAGGCTGCCCTAGAACTCACAGTAATCCTCCTGCCTCTGTCTCCCCAGTGCTGGGATCACAGGCATACACCACCACACCTGGCGGCTAATTTTTATTTTGAGAAAGGTTCTCCCTAGGCTAAGATGCCTGGGCTGGGCTCACATTTGCAGTCCTGACTGGCCTCCCAGAGAGGGGGGATCAGCGTATCCTGCCCCCAGCCAACCTGGTGTCTTCTGTGAGTTCAACGGTCTCAGAGACCACCAGCTAGGGTGGGGGACACAGGCTGGGGAGACAAAGGCCCTGCCGCGCTGTCCCTGGCCTCCTCGTGACTGCTCACATGACAGACACCTTGTCCAACTGCAAGGCCCCCACGCCAGCCCTATGTGGCTCCAAAGAGCTGGGTTGCCACCGCATCCCCCCCCCCCCCCCCGCTTGCGGAAGCACAGCTGCAACTGTAAGCTATCCGTCATCCTGTAGGGGGCGCTAGCAGCAGACTCGCGCCTTGGGCCCGCTAAACTCAGGCTACGACCTGCCGGGCTCAAGCGCCTCGGGAAGAAAACAGCTGGCAGTTATTGAAACATTATATTAAATGCTCAGGACGGAACCCAGGGCTCGCTCACCATTGAGCCACATCCCAGCCCTTTTTAAATTTTGAGACAGGGGCTGGGGAAATTGTTCAGGCTGACCTTGAACTTGGAATTCTTCCACCTCAGGCTCCCGGATTGCTGGGATGAGAAGTGTGGGCAAGCTTTTCATCTGCAGCGCGCAAGCAGAAGCTGCTCTGGTAACGGCAGGGTACACGAAGGACTCTTCTCTTCCTGTTGGAGAGCAGTGCCACAAAGCGGCAGGGAAACCCCAGGCAAGGCACAGACCAGAAGCCTCTGACACGCGGGGCCTCACTGAGATGCCTCGGAGGAGGGCACCCAGGTCAGGACGCTGGCACTCAGAGCTGGGTTCACAACCAGAGAAGCCTTGATCTAGAGCCAGCCCCAGTTTTGAACGTTGCCTGTGGTTGTCATTTCTGTCACAAGGCAGAAGTGACGGGATTGTGTGGTCTGTGAACTTAAAAATATTTGCTGTCTTGACTTTTTTTTACAAGAAAAAAGACAAAACAAAGCTTGTTTACCAGGTGTGGTGGCGCACTGCTGTATCCTCAGCACTCAGGAGGCTGAGGCAGGAGGATCACTGTGAGCTTGAGGCCACCCTGGGCTACATAGTGAGTCCAAGATCTTTCAGAACACTAGGAAGGCCCTCTCTCAAAAATAACAAAACTTACTGACCTTCAACCACTTTATTTTTGTGGTACTCTACACTGACCTACACCCTGGCCCTCTTCAAAAAAAAATTTTTTTTTTCTCCTGTGACAGGGCCTGGCTCTGTGGCTCAGGCTGGCCTAGAACTCACAGTGATCCTCCTCTTGCCTCTCCTTCCTAAATTCTGGGATCGCAGGCCTGCGCCACTACACCTGGCTTTTCTTTTGAGACAGAGTTTCGATGAATTTCCCAGTACGCTGAGCACACTAATCTACCTTTAACAAAGGTCCAGAAGATCAGCAAAGCCAGTTACTTCCCAGCGTGAGTCAGGGAGGAAGTATCATGGAACAGCCCTTCCCCACTGGGATAGGCCAGCAGGAAGGGTGGCTGGCCGTGTTGCTCTTTCTTTTCTTTTGAAGAGGGTGCACAGGGAGTAGCCCAGTGTCACCTATGCTGTCAGTCAGCAGAGGACACTGAGTGACACCCGTCCCTCTGAATGATATCTGCACAGGAGCAGGAAGCCAGCGCCACTTCACATGTACTCACCAATTCCTGTGACTTACTGCAGAGAGTGGGCTTGACCCAGCTGGACCTGGTGCCCAGGAAGTGGTGGTCAGGGCGCTTCCTAAATGCCAGGCCCCCTCTGCTGCCACCCCAGGGACCCTGAAGCTGGTGTCATAGTCCTGCTCACCACTCCTGAGCCATCCTGGGGAGCGGGAGCAAGCAGGGTTTAGGGGCAAAATAGAAAGCCACAGGCGGAGAGATGACACAGTAGATTTCCTCGGCTCTGAAGACCTGGAAGCTAACCACTGGCACCTACTGCCCAAGCTCGGAAACATATAAAAGGCCAAAGGGATCTTCCTGAGTCTTGCCAGAGTTGATTCTAAATCCAGGTGCAGAATACTCAAGAAAAACTTAGAGGGCTGGTGAGATGGCTCAGTGGTCTAAAGCACCTACTTAAAACAAGCTAAGCAAAGCACAGGGACCACAGTTCAATCCCCCAGCACCACATGCCAGCCAGCCCCGCCCCCTGGTGGGCTGAGCTGGCCACACACACACAAAATAAATAAATAAATAAATAA